ACAGGCACCCCATGCTCTGTACTTCATATCACATTCCAGAGAAAGGAATTGCTGAGTTCATAAATAGAAACTTTGCATATAATATAATACTAAAACTGGCACAGAGGGATTCCACATTCTAGAATATTTTATATTATATTTTATATTCTTCTAGAAGTTTTCATGTTTGATTTTTAGAGGAAAAAAATACCACTTCTAAATTTGTAGACTCCTTTGTTTAAATATAAATGCAAATTAATGTTCCTTGTTTGCCAAAATGTTGAGTGTGAACTGTCATAAGTATATCAAATGCTGAATGCTGTTGAAAGTAAGTTTTTTTTCTTTTATTTTGAAAATGTTGGTTGCTTGAAATAATATGTTTTGGCTTCTTGGGTGATTATTACCTAATTTTATATATTTTTTAAAGATTTTACTTATTTGACAGACAGAGATCACAAGTAGGCAGAGAGAGAGAGGGAAGCAGCCTCCCTATCAAGCAGAGGCTCGATCCCAGGACCCTGGGATCATGACCTGAGCTGAAGGCAGAGGCTTTAACCCACTGAGCCACCCATGTGCCCCCATTACCTAATTTTATTATGAGACAAAATCTAATCTAGTGTGGTGTTTAATATCAAAACTACTATATTAAGTACTTTCTTTGCTTTCAGTATATTAAAACCTGAAAAAAGTTGAAGAGAAGAGAATGAGGAGAAGGTAGCAGAGAAGAATCAAGAGCGTTTCACCCAGTTTCTAGCAGTGTGCAGTTTCATGGAGAAAGATGATTTGAAACAGCCATAGAATCTTACATATAGAGGAAACCCCAAGGCCATACAATCAGGTGTTTTTGTTTCTCAACTAAGGAAACATGCCCATTGAGGTTAAATGACATGACCACAATTCTCCAGGCAATATGTAGTTGTACAAAGCACCCAGAGAAAAGTGGGATGTGTGAGTGGGACTGAGGAATGGGTTATGGGATATGCTAAAATTCAGTTAATATTACTTACTGTGTGTCAAGCGTGTGCAATGACCTTCACACTTATTATCTCTTTTGCATTATCATAACAACCTTAAAGGTTAAATATTAGTAACTGAGGTCCAAGGAAGTGAAGTAGCTTTCCCAAAGACTCAAGTATTATATCATAGAGTCACACTCACAGATTGTGACATGGATTTGGTAGGCAAACATGGCAAATATTAAGTTAGTTTGAAATAAGAAATGGGATGGATATGTTGGAGGAAAGGGAGGTAAGACGCCTTGCTTGGCAAAAACAGAGCTTCCGCGCTGGGAAGTAGTGAGGCCAATGGAGGCTATTGCATCGATAAAAAGTTAGAAAAGTCGGGGCGCCTGGGTGGCTCAGTGGGTTAAAGCCTCTGCCTTAGGCTCAGGTCATGATCCCAGAGGCCTGGGATTGAGCCCCACATCGGGCTCTCTGCTCAGCGGGGAGCCTGCTTCCCTTCCTCTCTCTGCCTGCTTCTCTGCCTACTTATGGTCTCCGTCTGCCAAATAAACGAATAACATCTTTAAAAAAAAAAGTTAGAAATGTTCAATTTACACTTAAAATCCAGGGTGAGTTTGTTTCGCCCTACAAAACAGAGTATTCCAACACTGTAGCAGAAAGAAGGGGAGGGAGGGAATTAATAGTATCTGAAATAAAACTTAGCCTCGCTGGTGAAAAACATTCTGTGTATGAATGATCATAATATATATTAAGATCCAAAACAGCCAGGGAAACAAGGGGATGCAGCACATTATAACAGTAATTATCACTGTGTAGTTGGATTATAAGGAATATTTTTCTTCCTCGTTCATTTCTTTTTTCTTCAAATTTTCTACAGGGAGCCCACATTGATTTTATGATGAAAAAAAATAAATCTATAAAAAGAAATACATACATGGAAACTAGATTATTTGCTGAATTGAAAACATTGCCAATTTTAAACTACAACGGAAATGAATTTGAGATAAAATTTAGAAAAGCTTATACTGAATTAGAATATAAATAGTTCATTATTTTATATACGCATTATTTTCAGTTCTTTTTTTTTTTCCTAATTAGGGTTAAAAACTTAAGTTAGCATTCTATTTTTGATTAACTCTTCACAAGAAATTTGTGGTTTTTAAATGTCAGCTTGTACATAACTAGATACTTCCAGATACGGATTTTAAAATTGTTCTCTGGATTTTGGCTTGTAAAGTTGGCAGATATTCTCTAACTGACTGTGCTAATAGAATTTAAAAAGAATATCCATTTTTGTCCTTTTCACATATGGAACGTGTTCCCGGGCAACTACTGAATATCAGTAATTTATGTTAGCCTATACAATTTCAAGCCCAACATTAGATTTATAATGAGCACATAGGAAATTCTTACTGACTATATTCGGATCAGTTCTTGTTTCTTTTTAACTTCACAGAATGTCATTAGCTGTGGCCTTAGTTCTCAACCTGCTTTCAAGTTTTGTTTCAATTTATCTGTTACATGTTGATACCATTTATTAAGAGCTATTTGATAAATGGCATTTATTGTGTGCTTTTACTCCGAAAATGTCCTGAAAATGGGTAGTTTATTATTTCTTTGAGATTATTCAAATTGTTACAAGTCAAACATCAGAGAGTGTTAGGAGTTCTAAAGCAACGTTTTTTCGCACCAGTCTTTGAACTGCATAGATTAAAATAACACGTCTCTAAAGCCTCTGTACCCATTATTTTCAAATAGGAGGCTTTGCTATTTGAGTTTAGTTTTCAAAACACCGTATTTATTAAAATCAATTAATTAATATCGTGGGTATATCTTCCCTATTCCCAAAGCCACAAATTTATTTCCTCTATAAAATCTTCTCTGAAATCGCATCACATACTTGAGAATTGTCCCAAGAATCACATTTTTCTCTTGCTTTCTTCTGGATGTGCTGACATCTCCATTCAGCTCATGGCCTGCTCTGCTTTTAGATGTCAGGTACTTGAGGGTAAGAAGATTTTCTGCTTGTGGTGTCACATGTGGTGTCCCAGATCAAAAAATGTTGAGTGACTGTGTATCTCTGACACTATTTTAAAACATTTAAAACAAAATGCCTTTGGCATTTTTTTCTACTATTGTAACTGCTGCTTTGTATTACATATAAAAGTTCCTTCGGTATTTTGTCTATGATTATTCATGGTTGAGTGTCTATCCAGAAAATTTCTCCAGAAAATGGAAAGCGTGTATTTATAATGTGTTCTTGAAGTCACATGTAATGTGACCTTGGAGTCCCTTACAAATAATATGCAGTATATTATTGCCTGATGATTTTTTCTTTCCCCTCACTTTAGAAATAAGATAATTTAGCACGACCTTTGTATTGCTGGACTATTCCCAATCATTGACATTCTCCAATAGAAATAATCATTTTTTGAGTTTGAACTTGCCTCAGCCTCTTTAGAAATTTATAAATATGTGCATTTTTTTAAACACTAACCAACTTTATCAACTGACATTTGTAATCACATACAGATCACATTCACAAAATTTTCCAATGATCATCATTTTGTGTTAGAACATCTGCTTTCTCAAAGCTGAGGGGGCTCTCGGCTATATCACAGTCTCTTCAAAACCTTCAAACTGTAGTGTAAGCTCCTTGCACAGAACCAGTATCTGTGGTTTCTTCATGATGCTAACAATGTAAGTGCGATGGTTTTTGTTCATTAGCTGTGGAAAAATTCTTAAATAATAATCTGTAAAAACTCCTTATAAATCTCCTCTACTGAAAATAGGCTTCCTTAAAACACTTTTGGTAACAAAAGATCTACCGTGCCTTTCATATTGCTCAAAACATTCAGCACGTGGCCTTCACCCAGCTAGAAAATAAAAAAATGTGAAAGGTCAGGGGCACCTGGGTGGCTCAGTGGGTTAAGCCTCTGCCTTCAGCTCAGGTCATGATCTCAGGGTTCTGGGATCGAGCTCCACATTGGGCTCTCTGCTCAGCGGGGAGCCTGCTTCCCCCCCTCCCCGCCTGCCTCTCTGCCTACTTGTGATCTCTCTCTCTGTCAAATAAATAAACAAAATCTTTAAAAAAAAATGTGAAAGGTCAATCCCGGTTCAAAAGGAGGGGGGGAAGAGGAGTTCCTAAGTGTATTTTCCCTATTTGGATGTCGGAATGTTTCAAAGTCCAGTATTTGTTGGTCAGCTTTCAGTAGACCAGGTGTATTTGGTGTCCCCGTAAAGCTTCATAAATTATTTTTAAAAAAAGACAATATTATATAAAATCTAAGGCAAATATGTAAATAGAGCAATGACTAGAATCTAGTAGAATCTTCTACCTTACGTTTGAATGGCAGGCAGGGTATATATATATCCCCAGGTAAGAGACAAGAGTTCAAACAAAAATTTTTAAAAAAAATACATATTAGCTTTATTCTATTTGTAATTGGGCAACTTTGAAAGTTAAAGAAAATCTACACCCTTCCTCTTTTAGCTGTTTCCACATAAGGTAATGAGTATGCCATGAAGTATTGGAAACCCCCTTCCTCGCCTGGGGTGATGATTAACTTGTGAATTTGCATGCTTTTCAGGTGAACAAAGTTTGGCAACAATGATGGATCTGAACATTTTGGAGTATTTTATTGCCTTTGAAAATGAATAGTATGAAATACTTATTAAATTTCTTTTACCTATGTAACAAAATGTTAAACTAAGTGGTGAATTGTTTGTTTATATGTTATTTGTTTTATGCTGTTTTTCTGTGGGTAAAGGCAGTATTTTTAATTTTGTAAAATGGGATTTGGACAATTGAAATTAAATAAGTCAGTATAAAGCAAGTGAAGTGTTTGTTTGGATTTTTAACTGAAATATCAGAGATTTTAAAAAACTTACGGGCTAAGTTTCAGAAATATGTTATTTCTGTAGCAGTCTTTCAAATGTTACTCATAATGATACTTTTCAAATTTAAGTTTACTTCCATACCACATAGTATATACTTTGCCGTAGGGTATGTTGTATGTTTCCCTAAATTCTTTTCTGTGTGTGTTTTTTCTTTTCCAGTTACTGGCTGACAAACAAAGTTCCCATCAAAAGACCCAGCACAGGTCTCCTCATGTATACACTTGCCACAAGATTCTGTGATGAAATTCACCTGTATGGATTCTGGCCATTCCCTAAGGATTTGAATGGAAAAGCCGTCAAATATCATTACTACGATGACTTAAAATATAGGTACTTTTCCAACGCCAGTCCTCACAGAATGCCATTAGAATTCAAAACATTGAATGTGCTGCATAATAGAGGAGCTCTGAAACTAACAACAGGAAAGTGTATAAAGCAATAAAGCACATTTGAAAACCTACAAACTGAATACACACTTCTTTTCTGAAGATGCTTCCTAAGATTTGAAAATGGGATCCAAAACAAGACTGAGTGTCAGCATCCACCAAGTATCTAGATGCAAGGTGATAGAGGACATTTATGAGAAATCTGCTACCAGCTGATGAAATACCTGCAAAGTGCTCTAAAAAAACACATATGTTGACTTCAAGGGTCCTAGTAAGTGCCACTTCCACTAAGAACACAGTTTGAATGTATAATCAGTAGTGTTTACAAGATCCAACAATGCACTTGTCATTAGTTAATGAGGCAAATGTGTTCATCACTGTTGGGCTGCCATGGCAACGCCAAGCACATTAAAAGAGTCACCCAGGAACACAACTCAGCCCTGGGGATTAAACCATCCTTGTCAGCAGGAATTGAGATGGAAATAGTTTGAGCAGTGAAATCCGTAAGATGAAACAACTCAAGTAAATGCCTTCAGTCAGGACTCTGAGTCTGATCATGAACTTTATGTTTTTGTTTTTGTTTTTTGTTTTTGTCTTCTGGAGTCTCTTTTGGTTTGGGTATAGGGTGTTTAGAAATCTTTTCTGAGATAAATATGAATGAGATAAATAACCTTCAAGGAATCATTTTTAAAGTTCTTATATTTTTAAAGAGCAATCACATGACGACTTTGTAAAAGAGTTTTCTTTTGCACAACTCTAGACCTCCAGATTTTTTTCCAGGGGTGTAGAAGGTACCAGCTAAACTGTACCACTCAGTCATCTTGAGCCATTCTAAAGGAAAGATGTTCTATGTCATCTGAGATGGTAAAATTAGCAGAAAGAAAACAAGCACTTTTGGTACCAAAGATTGTGCTGATGTTTCTACACAACAAACCATTCTCCTTTCATGAAAATAATGTATTAATATATTATTATGCTACTAATATGGAAGTTGTCTTTAGAGATATTAAAGCTTTCAAACTCAAACTTTATCTTTATTTGAAGGAAGATTTCCATAGCTTTTACATTTCGTAATAATTTTGTGGAAGCATTTTGCCCTTTAGAATAAGTATTAGACTGATAGGGCTGAAATGAGACTTCCAGTTCTTTGATATTCCCCTTATTCCTCAAATGGAAAGATTGGCATTCTCTTTATATCACTGTTAAATTTTCTTAGTGCAGAAACAACATGATTAGTAGAATGTTGTCTTCATAACAGATGATTAATTTTCAGAGGTTTAATAATGAATCTGTGTGTCAGTATTTGCACTTCAAGTGAATTAAATTGGCCAATATTTTCCTGTGGTTAAATTTATTCACATTATCACGTTAATGTGTTTTCAAAGAAGCACATGAGATTATTAAGAAAGTGATTCAAAAAGTTTTAACATGTGATAGAATTGACCAATAGGCCAGTTTTCTGTTAACTTATACTATACTGGTAGGTAATCCTAATGGCAAATTGTTTAGAAAGCAGGAGTACTATGTTCCCACTTCTACTCTTAGCCTGAAACACTTACGTGACTTACTGTTTCTTACGGAAAGCAGTCTGAGGAAAGAAGAAATAGCATGGGGAATATGTATGTTTTGTTTCTTAGGAAAGACAGTCTGAAAAAAAAAATAGCATGGAGATTTTATATATATCTATATGTTTATAGATATATAAATATATATATACACACACACATACATGTTCTCATAGAAAAGGATGTTCACAGTAGGACAGTTCTTAATATATTAATAATATGTGGTATAATTTTTAAAAATATGAGAACCTTGGGTTTCAGAATACTATTTTTTAGAATTCATGTGTCTCTAAGAAAACAAAATAGAATGCATAAAGGAGATGCAGAGCTAAAAATGGACAGAACATGATGCACTTTTGTCATTAACCTCTTATCTATTGGAAATCTTAAAAGAATTAGGCACAAATTCTGAATGTAAAGATGAAAAGTCTGATCCACGTAACAAATCCAAAGTAGATGATTTATAGAACCTTAATTTTTACTACTTGTGGGTAAGCTTTTTGAGTAGGCTTTAATTTGAATTCAATAAAAGATTTGAAGTTATAAGTAAATTCTGATAGTCAAATCCACCTCAGAACTCATTCAAAGTATGTCTTCAAAAGCAGCAGCAAGGAACCTTGCCATTTTTATTGCATTATCAACAAATGTGTTTAAACAATTTTAAGGCCACAGCAAAAGCATCCCAGCCACTCACTGTTTAGTGCATTAATGTTTATCTCATAGATGCATTGAGTAGTGCCTTTTTAGCTTCGCATTGCTTTGTTGCCCTATACTTTGTGTTCTCTAAATAAATTGCCCAGTTCTAAAAATGTTCAGCATATAAAAAGGGCTTCAGTATCGACTGAGACTACTTTTGTTCATCTCAGGGAACTTTCAATACTCAAGAATGAATTCAATTAAAGGCATTTAGTGCTCAAAGAAAACAAACTGTACAAGACCAATCCATTCCCTATTGTACAGCTTTCCATCTGCCCCACCACCTTCACAAGCTACTGTGGCCTTCTTACAGGGATGAGGCAAGGAGATCGCTGAAGGCTAAAAGCAAGAAGAAGAGGAATTCCATTTAACCAATATGGGGCCAAAAGGGATCATGATAATATCAAATCATAAATACATACTTGAAACATCTGAATTTTTTTCTTTTGAGACTATCATATGTTCACAGCTTTAATTTTTTGTTTCTTTTTCACAATTTCCCCCTGTACCTGGCAATGCTCAGGCAGCTGATTGTGAAATATTCGTGTCCTTTAGAGAACGTGGTTGTTACTGTGCTGTTGACATGAATAGGCCATGGAAATATTTTCATCATTATTACCCAGCCTGTTCTATATTCAATATTAAGTTGCTGGAATTAAAAAAAAAAAAAAAGAATCAGTAACAGATTTTGGGGGCAAATCTAGTGATTCAGCCCACAGGACTGATGAAATTACTGTGGAAGTTTTTCTGTCTGAAGGAAGGTGCTGGGCATTCAAATGTCTTTATGTATTGTATATCATATGAAATGTATATCAACTGCTAATGGAAATTTCTACATATATGCTTACATAAGCAATTTATTTAAGCGATGCTGGGGGTAGTGTACATACCATCTAGTTACTAAGCTTCTACACAGGAAAAGGGTGAACAAAGTAATTTATTTCTAATTGAGCCAGTTAGTCATTACTGCACACAATGTGGTATTTGGTTCATAAGAGTTGTTTTCATGTGCTTATTGTTGGGAGTATCTATAATTGTGGAAGAGGTATAGGAAAAGTTATGTATAGTTAGTTGTTACCTCTACGAGTTTGGAAGTTTTCCCATTAGACCTTATCAGTATACCAATGTTTTAAAAAATTGAGTGAAAGAGGGTTATTGTTCCTATTTGATGACAGAAAATCCAAATAATGCCCACCTAGACATAGATATTTTATTATATATGTGCTATAGATATATCTATATAGTACAAATAGACATGTGTGATGCATATATACAATGTTATATATGTGTGTCTGTGTTATCCACACAGAGTCTGTAATATACACACACTAGATTCGTGTCATGCTAACATCTTCAGAGGCTGTACTGTTAAGCAGTCTGGAGATAAGACTACTTTAGAATAAAGAAGTTCTTTTGAGACTTCAGTTATTAACCTGCTTTAAGAGGGATCTACTTTATAACTGAATTCTATTGTTCATACTTAGAGTTTCCATAAGGGTCTAATATGGCCAAGTCTTAAAAAAAAAAAAAAAAAAAAAAGAAAGAAAAAAGAAAAATTTAAAAAAGTTTTCAAGCTGGCAATGTATTTAAATTGCAGTTTTCCGTGGCTCCCAGGCCCTGTGTCTCCCATTTAAGTAGCACCTTTTAATAAATGTTTCTTTGTGTAGGCAAAAGCACAAGTGTTTCAAATGTATATAGCTGGAAAAAAAAAGAGTTTACAGAGATAGCACTGCTGCACAGGATAATTGCTACTGAGTATTTCTTATATCATTTGTGGAATTGAAAGGTGAGATTTATTCTGTCAAGTTCATTCTGTTCAACACTGTTTCCTATTGTTTATGTATAGCAGTTGGGTGTTATTGTTTTATCATTTGTAAAATTGTAAAATAAATTAAATCTCCCTTTTTTTTTTCCTAATTTTCTCTCATCTCTTATATCCAAGCCTCCTGGTTCCACTTTGTACAATAAGATAAGAGGACAGTTTTAAACAAAATGTAGCTAGTGCTTTTGTCTTCCCTGCCCCTCTGCTAGCCGGTGACAATCTGGCAAACCATTTATTTTTACAGCGTATGCACAGAAACACGAACAATATCGAAAGCCCCATAAACATCAGTAAATCTTTAACAATTTTTATTAAATTTGGTACATTCTGTTTCTGGTTCAGGGAATGGAGTGTTACACCAATTACATTTACATCCAATTTATCCTGCTGTCAGCGGGTCAATCTGGTTTCATGGTTGGAGAGGTCCATGGCTCCTCACACACCGCACATTCTTGTGGTAGCCCTCGACTTGTGATTTCAGCTGCTGTTACGTCCACTTACTACTGTTTGCAGTTCACATTCCAGGAGGTGATTCCGAAAACCTGCATATCTCAGTCTTCTTCCACGACTTCATCTAACTGCCAAATCTACATTTTCAGACTGCGCTGTTTTCTCCAGAAACTAATGTTTTCATGAGGTCACTTTTAGTGTTCTGAAATTTTTGAGTATTAGCTAGAGACCAAGAGTGAACCATTAACAATGTTTAATGACAATAGATCTTAGTTGTATTTACATAATTACCTTTTATTTTCAAGGATCCATATACAATCGGTAATCCCTGTTGATTCTTCGGATAAAATCAGAACTCAGCATGAACCTGTGCAATGGATATGGCACTACCTCAGTTTTCAGATGAGATTGAGAGGTTATGTGACTTGCTAAGGGTAACACAGTTCAGAAGTAAAAGAACCATTATTGAATCCAGCCAATGTGACTTCAGTGCCCACCTTCCCGTAACATTTTGATGCCACGTCTTTTTAACTGACAAGAGGTTCCCTGCAAAACTAAGTTTGCAAACAGTATTATTTAATGAGCACAATGCTAAGTGAAACAAGTGAGAGAAAGACAAATGCCATATGATTTCACACATACGTAGAATTTAAGCAGCAAAACAGATGAACATATGAGAAGTGGAATAAAGGAGAGAGGGAAACAAACCTTAAGAAACTGAATGATAGAGAACAAACTGAGGATTACCCCAGGGGAGTAGGTGGGGATGGGCTAGATGGGTGGGGGGTATTCAGGAGGGCACTTGTGTGGAGCACTGGATATTGTATCTTACTGATGAATCACTGAATTCTAGTCCTAAAACCAATATTACACTATATGTTAACTAACTAGAATTCAATTAAAAACTTGAAAAAAAAATTATTTAATGAGCAAAGCTCAAAAGTATAGGCAGGTATTTAGGAGGAGTATATAACTTGGACTTTGGGACCATCTAACAAGCTATCCCTGTCTTCAAATAGAGCAAACGTCTCTAATGACAAGAAGATCTGTGCCTTCCAGGCATAAACCCTACCAATTCTCACTCCAGCTTGTTTCCTCATTTTTTTCAAGCACGTTTTCATTACTCTTATGTTAGACTCTGACTGTGTATCACAAAATCTATTACATTACAGTTATTTAAAACTCTTAACTGTGAGATTCCTAAACAAACATGATTGAATTTGGGTGTTTCATTCATCTCTTTTAGTAACTACTTAACTATCTCAAGGTGGAAGTTCATGCATTTTACGTGTTTTTAGAACATTTTTCACTAGTTTCTTTCTCTTTATGAGAATGGGAATAAGCTAATATCCAAATTAACAGAGCATCTTAATGATCTGTCCTATAAACTAGTTTCATCATGCATGAGCCTTTGAAAGAAAAAAAAATCTTGGATATAAGAATAAAATTATTGTTTCATAATATATCAAACTAAGATATATCTTAGTCACTTAGTTGCCTAATTCCTGGAATCTCTATAAATGAATTATGTGAAATAAGTAAATGCTAATACGAATCTATTTTTTTCTTTTTTTTTTAACTTTTTTCCTTCCAGATTGCTGATTTCTGACTCAATCACCAAAGTAAAATTTCTCAAGTAAACACAAGAGAATATTAGTCCGGGATATGTTCCACAAAAATATGCTCATTGAATGAGAATTCTGTATATCTCTTCCTTGGATATTCTGAAAATACACCAACATATTAAAACATCTGAGAAATCTTACAATAAAGAAGTTTCTTTTAGAGGCAGGGTGGGGGCTTGAGGGGGTAGGGAAGGGAAAAATGAAACAAGATGGGATCGGGAGGGAGACAAACCATAAGACTCTTAATCTCACAAAATAAACTGAGGGAGGCGGGGGGGGGGGGGGAGGAAGAGGGTGGTTCGGTGATGGACACTGGGGAGGGTATGTGATATGGTGAGTGCTGTGAAGTGTATAAACCTGGGGATTCACAGACCTGTACCCCTGGGGCAAATAATACATTATATGTTAATAAAAATAATTTTTAGAAAGACATAGGTAATTTTGTATGTAACTACTATGAAGTGTGAAATTATGTTCCTCACAACACACTTTGAATAATACTTCAGAATGTAACAAACAATGCAGAGAATAGAACATGTAAAAGCTTCAGGTAGAAATAAATACTTCATTTATTCAGTGTTTTTTTCCCCATAGACCAAAATATTATCTTAATAACATTTTCAAATATGAAAAATATTTTAAACTGATATATTTATTTATTCTCTATATTAATTTTTATAATAACAATTATTTTTTTTCTAAAATATTAATCAGACCATGGCTACATGTTAAAAAGCAGTCCCAAACATAACTTTATTGCTCATTCTGGGCAATGCAAACAAATCAGTTTGCTATAAGGCATTAATAGCACAGGAAGAAAAAAAAATGCTATGAGGTGCTAATTTGCATTTTCTAGAACAACTCTGTGTACCATAATAAGCTCTCTCCCAACGGTCTGTCCAGACCAACTTCCTCACCTCTAGCCTCCTAACACCACACAGATGGGCCGTATATGAGCACATTTGCCAGGGCTGTCAAAATGTAAACACACTCAGCTGGTAGCAGATGTTTTCCAAGAAAGATCACTACACTGGAGTTGTTCTGCTGTGGATTCCATGTGAGTTGATCTCCATGATTGGGCATAAGGTCATTGTGTTCAAATAGATCATTTGTTTTTCAGATCTAGAACAATAACAGGGTAGATCCAAGCCCAGCTGTTTGGTATTTAACATGTACATATATGGAGAAATGTTTCTGAAGTCTCTGTTAATAAGCCAAATTTTTATTTGGCTTTATTTTACTTTATGTCTTTATTTATCTTTATTTTAGTCTTTATTATTTATTTAGACTTTATTTAGTCTTTATTTCAGGTCTTTATTTTACTTTATGTCTTTATTTGCTGAGCTCTTCAAAGGTAAAGCATAGACTTAGTGAAAGAAAAATAAGTATTTTCAGTTTTTCTGTGGTCATTGTAATCTTGTGGGTTGTTGTAATAATTGTGTCTACTCATAGTTCTTAGTCCTGCTTTTTAACAATATACTAGACATTCACTTATAGGGTAATTTTATTTAATTTTATAGACGCTGATGGTATATTTTTCTTATGTGAGTTTATAAACTCATTTCATATATATGCATTTGCAAATCCTGATGGCATGTAAAATCAGAAATACTTTATAAACTACTTTTACAAAGTAATACTACTTACAAGGCATTCTACTAAACGTGAGGTTTACCTGGAAGAGACATACAAGAGAATAAGAAATCATATCCTTTGGTAACAAGTATTCTATCTCTGGAGTGCCCAGAGAGTTCAGAGAGCACAAAGGGGCAAGGCAAAGGACACAGGCTACTTTGAGCATGATTTGTAGTCAGGCAGTAAAATCAAGACAAGCAATAGTCCACTAACAAAGGACTAAAGAACAGAAACCAGCTGCCCTTCTCAGTGTGAGTGTGTGTGTGTGTATGTGTGTGTGTTAGTAACCATTACCCTAAAAAACTGCTTATGGAAATTAGGTAATTTCCACTCCCACTCCTGACCAGTATAGTATCATTGTTGAATTACAAGTTTAAACAAAACTGAAGTCTACCCTAAACCAAACACCTACCAAGGCCAGGTAAGTGCAGACTTACTGAAATTATCCATTGTATAAGACACTCCACTTCCAAATATCTCTGTGTTAATATTTACTTTGTTTCCAGCTTGATGGAATCTACCATAAAAAAAAAAGTCCTTTACTTGCCTCCAAGTAATGACTTTGAACAATGACTTATTTCTTTCACTTTGACAAATGCTTCCAAATCATCATGACTTTAAAGTTTGATTTTGGGATGGTTCCAGAATTTGAAAATCCACCTGCCCAAACTTTCCAAAATATAGAATGTGAGCCTTCTAATATTCTCATTCAGTGACCATACCCTCACTTTCCTCTGTGGGCTTGTGCTTTCGTGTCCTTATTTAAAATGTATTTCTGAGGATTTTTCTTCAGTCTTCTCCTTCTTCTTTATTTCCGTGCTTGGGAACTTTATTGGTCCTGGAGAAAGGAAGATGTGTGGGGCCCCACCTCCTGCAGAGAATGACAATGCTCTCACTGCTTCCTGGTGTGGTTGATAGGGATCTTCACATGCTAGGGGGAGGCCAGGAAGGACTTGAGCTCCTGCACAAGGCTGAGGCACACCACATAGGCAGAGAGCAGGGGGAAGGAGTCCAGGCAGTGGGGTTCTAGGACCTGGTGAATCAGCAGCAAGTTCAGCAATGTGTAGTCCAAGAAGGAGATCCAGTTGCCTATGATGAAGACCTGCCCCTCCCTGGTCCTAGGACAGCAGGAGCTCAAAAGACTTCAGGTACCCCAGTCGTGCCTTCATAAACCCCTCCTTGACTGCCGTGGGGTTGGCATAGATAAAGACGAGGTATTTGCAACAGAGATCCTCCACGGAGCCATTCACCACGTCCACCAAGGTGGCCTCCCTTTGGTCCTTCCCACCAAGCCCAAGATAGTAGCCCAGGTATTGCAGGATGGCATTGGACTGGTACAGGGTTAAGGTCTCCGTCCTGGAACTCAGAAAACTTCCCTGGTAGACAGGAGGGCTTGAGTGAGCCCTGCAGGCAGGTCTTGTTGGTCACCACCTCTTCTTCCAGTTCTGGCCCTGGTCAGCCAGCAGCATGCTTATGGCCTTACGTCGCTCTCCAACAGGCAAGGAGACAATCCTGTAAGGTGCCATGGTTGCAGCACTTCCAGCCTTGGCATTGGAGGTGATGGTGGCAGAGCTCTCTTCAGTTTTCTTCTCTCTCTACACCTCTAGAGATCATACCCACTCTGATGTTTGTAAACTTGGCAGATGTACAGGTATATGGGAATAATAATTTAAGGAATTTATTCAGAGACAAAATATGCATATTCCTGTCATATTCATAGTATAGGTTCCCTTTAATAAACAGCTCAAGGGGGTTTTAATGCAGATAGTGTATTGGTCAAATGCTCCCAGGGAGTAGAAGTGAGGAACCAGGTGCCATAAACTGAATGTCTGTGTCCCTCCAAAATTCATATGTTGAAACCTAATCCTCAAATGGTGATATTTGGAAGTGGGGACTTTGGGAGGTGATTAGGTCATGAGGGTGGAGCCATCATGAATGGGATGAATGTCCTCACAGAAGAAGAATCCAAGAATGCTCCCTGATCTTCTATACCACGTGAAGACATGGCAAGAAGATGGCTGTCTTTGAACCAGGAACCAGGTCCTCAGCAGACACCAAATCTGCTGGAGCTTGATTCTTGGACATCTCACCTTCCAGAACTGTGAGAAATGACAGTTGTTCATTAGCCCCCTTGTCAATTATATTTTGTTACTGCAGATTGAAGGGACTAACACATAGGAGGAGTGTAACAGGAAAGAAGAGAAAGCCTATATAAAAGATATGTTTTCAAATTGATGGTTTCTGTGGTGACTGAGTGCTCAGTCCCACCTGGACTATCTGAAGAAATTTATCATAAGGATCTCCAGATTCAAGGACTATAGAAGAAGCAATTACCCATCAGACCCAACCCTCCATTGAGAGTTTCTCCATGAGTGATAAACTTCTTCAACTTGTGGATTGTACATGTGAATTCTTAGCTAGCTCCCAAAGATGACCTAAAGCATGTGCCAGAAAAACACTCAAGTAGTATGCAAAAGCAATGCATGCTTGATACTAGGCACAGTCTACACAATATTGTTTGCTAAGTCAATGACTAGAATGAGTCATGAAGTGGAGAAGAAATGAGGTAGTGCACAAGGTATTTAATATAGTCCTCCTAGCATACCACTTGCATAGGCTGGTACCTTCTATTAATTCCAGTGCATAACCAACTCTCTAAATTGTCAGACGCCTGTAAACGATTAGTTTGGCAACTATAGTCCAAGCATCTGTAAATTATTCCAAGTCGTAATTGATATTCATCATCTCCTTTCTCAGAGTTCCCTTACTTCTGCTAGTGTGGGTTTCTTGTATGAGAGGTGACCTGAATCTGGGCACATAGTTGACTTCTCCTGGATTGCTGCAATTTTCCATTCAGATTTATGTCTGGGCACTGAAGCAACAAGAGATATCCAGTGAATCTGCTGGGTCCCAGAAACAGTTTCCTTTTTCCTCATTATATAGCACCAACTCTGTCATGATCTGTGTCAGTTACTCCTGCCAGTATGATAACTCCTTTCTTTGTCTATTAGCTCATTGCTACCTTCAAGTTTACTGGGATCTTTATTGAGTCCACTGGAAAAAAACATTCCCCCATTAGAAATCAAGACTTATTATCTAATGGAATTTGAATTGTGAATACCAAAAACAAGAATTTCTAAAATGAATTGACAGAAGTATGAGAAAAAGAGCCAATGGTACTTTTATCACTTGATTACAGGACTGGCATTCTAGATATTTGGGACACAGCACCATATACTGGCCATTAGTTTAAAGGAGATCACACATCTTAAAAGACAGTATACCAGAACTGCTTGGTGTCCTGGCTCTGAGTTGTCATTTTATTGAGCAGTTAAGAGGTTATCCTATTATCACATTAGGTTAACACTTTGTGGTGATAGGGTGTAGAGTGAAACAAGTCGATTCCATGGTAACGGTAATTTATGCACTGCCTCACGTTGTTTGCCATAAGATTGTCTTTTTAGTCTAAGGAAACCTTGATGATCCCATTCTAATGAATTAGGGATTTTTTAAGACCCTGGATAATATAAGGTTGGTGAAGTACTGAATGTAAGAAAGCAAATCCATATAGAGAATTATGTTGATTCTGGTAAGTTTAAATTGTTGTCTGCTCTAGAATTGAAAGGGTCTAATTCGAAAGGGTCCAAAAATTCCACCTTGTATCATTTCAACATGCCTCCAAATTGTTCAACTTGAGTTAGTACCGTATTTAACACCCACACTGGTTGTTGCCATTGACAGGTTATACATTTAGCAACGGCAATAGCTTATCAGTCTTAGTGGGAAGGAACCCACACTGTCGGGCCCATGCATAGTTCCATCTCAGCCACCATGGATAACTTGCTCATGGGCCCATTGTGCAAACACCGCACTGGCTGAGAAGTGGACTGATGCTCATCAGCAGGATGGCCCATCTTGTCCACCTAGTGACACAGGCTTTTTGTCTCTGTCAACTATTAATATAAGACAAACAATAATCTACAAATTTTATCCCAAATCCATCTGAATGTAAGACTCCAGACTTTCTCTTTTTTCCTATGTTCCAATCTTTGCCTGTCTGGGTCCCTATTCAATGAGTCAAATCATGTGTCACTTTGATTCAGAATAAATGACCAAGCATATTACTCCCAACTCTACTCACTGGGAGGGCTTCCTCTTATCACTGTCCTGTAGGACCACACTTGGATTGTGCTGAAGTACAGTCAGGTACACATTTTCAGAATTAACTAAAGCTGAATTATCTGAGTCTTAGATATGAATTTTCCCTCTGGCAACTTAGTCCTAGGGAACCTCCTTAGAGGCCATAGATGTGAGCTGAGGATAAACAATGGTTCAGCAGAAGTAACTGATATGGAATTGCGCATCACCTATTTGTATAACTTACATGTGTACCCTATTACACACTAGGGTATTGACTTAGGC